AGAGAGAGAGAGAGAGAGAGAGAGAGAGAGAGAGAGAGAGAGAGAGAGAGAGAGAGAGAGAGTGTTGGTGTCTTTGGGGCATTGAAAGCCGGTAGTGTTGGGATCATCGAGGGGATGTCGAAACTGTGTAGCTCACAGAAAGCTTAGAGAATCATTTTCTCCAATCATCTTTTCCTTCCTCCTCCTTCCTCCTTCCTCCTCCTTCCTCCTTCCTCCTCCTTCCTCCTCTTTCCTCCTCCTGGCTTCCCGCTTCCCTGGCTCCTGAGCTGCGCTCCTGCTCCGCTGCTGCTCCTCCTGGCTCTCCCCGCCTCACCCACTCCCCCCTCCTGCCCTCTTGTTGCAATTCTCTGTCTTAGCGGTTTCAATTTCAGTTTCAAATCTCCACCTCTCTCCTTTTTTTGTTTTGTTTAAACAAGTATTTAAACTCATTTCGGTGCTCATTTCGTCTCCTGTTTTCTTTTGGTATTTTGTTTGTTGTTCTTTTGTCGTTTCTGACCCTGGGAGCTGGTTTTCGTTCTCATGGTGGTGGTGATTTGTTTCGTTCAGCGTTAGGTTGACTTTGACTTTGGGAGTACTATAGTTCTCCCTCCCTATGCGAAGGGTCAGCGATCCTGTTTTTTGCACTGTCAGCACCTCTTGCTGTGGCAGCAGCAGATCCGGTCTGTTCAGACCAATCCAATCGAATCCAATCCGAGTCAGCAAATAACAGTAGTGAACCCCATCTGGTTGACGACGACTGTGATCAGATGCCGTCGGAGGGCGGGATGGCCACACCCATGGAGACTGATGAAGCAGAGGTTGGAATCGGGATAAAGCAGCCACCGCGTACATCGAAGACAGACGACGAAGGCAAGCCCCCCAAGGTGAAGCTGGTAGACAAGGGAAAGGCACCAATTGGAGAGACGAGGGGGACTCCTTGGGTGGAGAAGTATCGGCCAAAAACGTTGGATGACGTGGCAGCACACCGTGACATCATCGACACCAGTAAGCATTCCGCCACAGCTACAGTACATAGCCAGCCACCGGGAACACAGTCGTTTGCTTTTGTTGTCGTGCATGCAGATTGAACACCGCCGTGTGAACACGCTTAGGAGGATTGAGTGGAGGAGATTCTATCATGTGTGTTGTGCTGTGAAATGTACCCTACCTGCATGAGTCCTATGGTGGGGTAATTAATTATAGACATGTATGTCGTGCCAACATGAAATGACAGCTGAAGAATTGAATTGAATGTCTCCACGAGCCGATCCCAAGAATCGAACACGTGGGAGTTGAACGCGCAACCAAACAGCTAAGCTGACTGGGGTGCAAGTTAAGTCCCAAGATGGGTACGTAACGGACTCTAACACGGGTTTCTCCTCGAACGAGGAAGAAGAAGGGTGTAAGAAGAAGAATACGAGTGGAAGAAGACGAGTGGAAGAAGACGAAGAAGACGAGTGGAAGAAGAAGAAAAAGAAGAATAGTGATAGAAGAAGAATATGGGAAGAAGAAGAAGAAGAAGGAGGAGGAGAAGAAGAAGATAGTGATAGAAGAAGAAGAATAGCGGAAGAAGATAGTGATAGAAGAAGAAGAATAGCTGAAGAAGAATAGTGGCGACAACAACGAAGACAAATGCTTCAAAAAAGAAAAGAAAAAAGAAAAAAGAAAAAAGGAAAAAAAAAAAAAAAAGACGACGAAGAAGAAGACGACAAACAGGAAGAGGAATAACACTGGGTAATGCTCCCAGATCCGGCCTTTATGTGCGGCAACCGGCCCCTTCTATTTCATACCAAGAAGACGAAGATGAAGATGAAGACGAAGAGTGGGAAAAAAAGAAGACGACGAAGAAGTAGAGTGGGAAAAGAAGAAGAAGAACTGATTTGACTCCCCACAGTTGTAGAGCTCACAATATATCTTTATGGTATAGGGTTTTGACCGCGGGGTCTCTTGTGTGTGCCTTGTCTCTCATCCATGCGTTGCTGGCTCGTTAGCCCGTTGAGGTACTGACACTTGTTTTCCTGTGCATCGTCCGTCTGGGTGGTGTTTTGCTTTCGTCTTCCACCATTTGTGTATGTGGTCATGATCATCGTTATTGTGCAGTTGGCAGGCTTACATCAGAGAACAGATTACCTCATCTTCTGCTCTACGGACCTCCTGGAACGGGCAAAACTTCCACCATTCTTGCAGTTGCGAGGCAGCTGTATGGACCTTCACAGTACCAGAACATGACGCTGGAGCTCAACGCGTCAGATGACAGAGGAATTGATGTTGTCAGAAATCTGATCCAAGACTTTGCCAGCACACAGAGATTCAACTTCGGGTATGATGATTGCTTTTCAGAGTGACTTATTTATTTATTTATTGATTTATTTTAACAAGGGGTTGCCCACCGCACATGCTGCGGGGACTGAGACAGGGAAAAGAAAAACGTATCGCAGGTGGCGGCAGTGATGATGATAGAGATGGTGATGACGGTAGTCATTACGATGGTGGTGGCGATGATCACAATGATGATGATGAGGGATGCTCGCGAGGATGATGATGATTATGATAATGATTATGATAATGATGAGGGATGTTTGTTACTATGATGATGATGATAATGACGGTATCCTGATCCCTTGTTGATCATATCTTTTCCTGATCTCTTCTCTCTCTCTCTCTCTCTCTCTCTCTCTCTCTCTCTCTCTCTCTCTCTCTCTCTCTCTCTCTCTCTCTCTCTCTCTCGTCTTTTCCTGATCTCTCATGGATTATGGAAAACTTGAAAAACGTTTTCGGAGTCTTCTTTTTCTTATCAATCAGTATGGATAAGTTTAGAGCCCTGGTCAGACATGGCTTGTGGGCATTGTAATAATCATAGTCTGACCTGCACTCGCTCTGTCTGATGTAAATGCTCTCTCTGCCCTTCATTCTGTCTGACCTTTTCTCTGTCTGTGTGTTTGTGGCAGCAGTACACTGCCAGCATTCTGACGTACACTTTCCTGATTTTTACTCTTTTTGCCGTGCCTGGCGGTGCCTCGCTCAGCTTTGGCTGAAAGCTTTACAGCTCCCCTTGACTCCGAAGAATCTACGTCTAGACCTGACCGATGGAGTGAATCTGCTACTGAATCCTATTGATTTTGACTTTTCCCGATCTTATTGGGATGGGTAAGGTCAGCATAGCCACGAATAAGGTCAGACAAGGCAACGGTTAGACATCGCTTGCCTGGTATTGCAGTGGTCTGTCTGACATTTGTTCCGTCTTTCTGACATTCTTGCTGACCTTTTCTCTGTCTGAGCTGTGCTTGTCTCTGACCTTTTCTCTGTCTGAGATGTGCTTGATGTGCTTGTCTCTGACCTTTGTTTCTGTCTGACAGACTCTGTCCTTAAACCGCTAGTACACGGCCCCAGCCTTGCAGAAAGTTTTTGTCGCCACAAGCAAAACTTGGAGGCGCCGCGCTGCCAGGCCCGGCGTTGAAAAAAAAAATCAGCGGCCTCCGAAGTGGTGCGGGTTTCATGCTGACACCCGCGGACCGATATGTGGTGTACTGGTGCTTTCATGGTCTGTTTTGCCTTGTTTGAGGTCAGACATGGCTTGGTACTGTAGTAGTCTGTCTGGCCTTTGCTTTGTCTGCTGGCCTTTGTTCAATCAGACTAACATTTTTCTCACTTTTGCTCTGTCTGAACTGTGCTTGTCTGACCTTTGCTCATGTCTGACAGACTGTGACCTTATAGGCTTATAGTCTGTTTTGCCTCCTTGGGTTTTGCTGAATTGCACATCTCTCAATCGGTCCGGTCATTGTATATGTATGTTGTTCATGTCTTGCTTCCCCCTCTTGCTTCTTTTTTTTTTTTTTTTTTTTTTTTTTTTTNTTTTTTTTTTTTTTTTTTTTTTGCACTTTTTTTGTTTTCCCTTTTTTTTTTTTTTTTTTTTTTTTTTTTTTTTTTTTTTGCACTGACTGTTTTCCAGGTATGGTTTGAAGGCTTGGGTTTTGTAAATGGTTGCAATGTACACACGCGTAGGAAGTGGCTGAAATGTTCACATGTGTACTGTTGACGATAGAGAAGCTCAGGAGTTCAAATCCTGTCTGAAACGTATACATGTTTGGGGATTTTTGGATTGCAGGGGAAAGAACAATACAAAGCTTGTAATTTTGGACGAGGCGGATGCAATGACGAAAGACGCACAGTTCTCTCTTCGAAGAAGTGAGTTATGCGGTTCACATTTCTTGGTCCCATACACCAGTCAGTGTTCCATGCCATTATGGGACTTGTATCAATTGAGTCTTGTCGCGAACCTTGTTATTGTGAATGTTTCATTAAACCACCAGTTCAGCCGAGCCTCCAACTGGGCCGTTTCGTACTGGGTCATGCTGGACTTTGTTCCTGGAGCTGTGATGCAAGCCCCTTGTCGTTGTGGTTGCCATTGTCGTTGTCATAATTGTTGTTTGTTGTTGTTCTCAACGTTGTCGTTGTTGTTGTTGTTGTTGTTGTTGTTGTTGTTGTTGTTGTTGTTGTTGTTGTTGTTGTTGTTGTTTTTGTCAGCCCAAACTAGTTTATTTTTGCATATCCTTTTTATTTGTTTAGGCAAAGTCATTTTTGGTTCACCAAACACTTCTACATTTTCTACTCCTGCTTCTATGGTGGTGAGGGGTCAATGATGATCGTTGTTGTTGTAAACAGTCTCGTAGTTGTCCTTGTTGTTGAAAAGAAAGCACTTGGTTGAAGCAAAGAATGTGGGCATTTTTTCTGTCCTTGTTTCATTGGCCAAGAATCTGTTATCGTCATTGATGATGTTCAGCCATCACCATTGTTGCTGTTGTTATTGTCTGCTGTGTATTCCATTATTGATGTGCGCTGTGATTTTTATTCTTCTCTCTGTATCTTCGTTTTCTTCTTCTTTTTTCGCTCTGTTTCTTCTTTTTCTCCTTTCTGTTTTGTTTCTTCTTTTTCTTCTTCTTTCTTTCTTTTTCGAAAAACTTTTCCCTCAGTTTCATCCTTTTTCTTCTTCTTGCCCCTGCTGCTTTTTTGTTGCTGTTATAGGTACTGGCTGCTGGTACTGTTCTTGCTGTTAATATCTTTTTTTTGTGGTAATCAGCTTTTGTGGTGGTCTTTCCTCTTCCTCTTATTGCTGCCCCCTTGCCGCGCTTAGTTGCTGTTGTAGGTACTGGCTGCTGCTGCTGCTGCTGCTGCTGCTGCTTTTCTTGGTGTTATTGTCCTTGCTGTGGCAATCACCTGTTGTGGTGGTTGCTGTCATTTTCCTTTCATTGCTGTTGTTATCATAATGCCATTTGTTCTGATGTTATTATTCTGTTCCTGTTTCTGTTCATGTGTGCTTTGTGCAATTATGCGGGTTGGCTGTTCTTGCCCCTTCCATCTCCCCCCAACCCTCCCCCCCCCAAAAATGCAGTTATTGAGAAGTATACACGAAACACGCGGTTTTGCTTGATATGCAATTATGTCAGCAAGATCATTCCTGCTCTACAGTCAAGATGTACGCGCTTCCGTTTTGCACCTTTGGCGCCTGTGGATGTTACTCTAAGGCTCCGACATATTGTTCAAGAAGAACGGTACGTACACATGGTGAATGTTTTAGAGCTTTTTTTTCCCTCAAGTTTCATATTTGAGTGGAAGGAAAATGCAGTCACATGCTTGTACTGAAAGCAGAATGCAACACGAGATACACTAAATAAGAGCAAAGCAATTAAGTCAATTGGCAATGAAAGCCCTCTCCTCGCCTCCAACATCAATGTCTCCAATGTTGCTCTCCTATTATGGCGCGCGACGCCCAGACTACAGACAGACAGCACCTACGACCTAGACTCCCTATTGACGACAACAGGTGTTCATGAAGATCAGTGACTGATGACGAGTGAAGACTCTGGCTATGCGGCCCACTTCGGTCATCACAAGGTAAGCGGCCTTGTTGCCCGCTCAACCCTCGTACTCCCCACGTTTGTCGCCCATCACCCAAGGACCTCCGCTTCACCCCGTGTCTATGGCTCTGGCAGCCTGGCTCTGGCAGCCCTATGTTCTAGCCACGCGTGCGCAGCTCCTTCCCAGCGCCCCGCCACCGCTCTTCCCACTGCCCAACCAGCGCCCAGGAAGCCTGCATTCCAGCAGAGCTGCCACAGTCCAACCAGTCAGCATGAATGAGGAAGTGACTGTCCTCACCTCCTTTTGTGCAGAGACTAGCTGCGTGAGGCAGCTTCTGGATGCTTGGCCTATGTCCCAGTAGCTGTGCCCAGGGCCCTTCCAGAATATGGCTGGGGCTCAACTGTAAGTGTCCAGAACCTCAGCATGTTTCTGGGCCCCAGCATCTACAACCGATCAGGCCTACCCGTCAGTTGCACGTCCTGCATTTAGCAACCAACCCATGAGGCGATGCCTGCCCACATTGGTCTGATTTCAGGCGTCGTCAAATTTTCAGGGCCCACCTTCACTTAGGGCGGGCACAACCAGTTTCCAGCGGCTGCAGGCCTCTTTTACCAACCACGGCCGAGGGCCTCATGCCTTGCACTTCCTCCTCCTCAGCTCCGAAAGTCCTCTGAGTAAACCCTCAACTTACTTGCTGCTTCCCTTTGATCAGCTTTCATAATGCGATACGACTTGAGGTGCTGTTTTCATCAGCAACTCTCTTGTAAGGGCCTCGCCACACCAATGTCGAAACTGGAGCTTTCAACAATTTTTTTCACCACGCAGACTGTCGAAGAAAAACTGTCGAAAACACTTCGACATTTGTCAGAGGAATATTTTCGACACGGGTGTCGAACCACCAGCCTCCAGCGTCGACACCTCTTGTCCGAGGTGGTGAAAAGTTCCCCCCTCTCAGCGTTCCGTGGCCTGGATATCCCTGTCTTCTTCTTCTTCTTCTTCTTTTTCCCTCTTCTACAACAAAGCTTTGATTATCCAGCATCTTCGACACTCGGTGTGGCAAAGGCTGCTTTTTATTGAACACGCCAATGCCAAAAAACGCCTGACACATGTCGAAAGTAAGGCGGTTTCGGCGTTGGTGTGGTGAGGCCATAAAGCACCGATCTTCTTTTGGATCCATATAATGCTTGAATATGACCCCAAACCAAGGTTGCATACCTGCCGACCGCCGACCGTATTGCAGCTGACCAGTAGGGCCCACCGGTTGGCGGTCTTCCGACCAGTCAGAAAAAAAGCCATCCCCGTCTTTTTTTTCAAATCTGAGTTGGGGGCTGTACTGCGCTTGCTGAGTACAACCCAAATCCGCTGAGAATTTTTTGGGGATGAGGGGCGGTATGGGGGGGATTATGGGGGGGTTATAGGGGTATTGGGGGGGGTATGAGGGTGTTGGGGGGCGGTTTGGTGGGGTGTA